ATATATGCACAAACACACACTCATGTAAAGAGATATACAGTATGTACTATATAGCAAATCTCAACTGCTTGATTATTGCAAAATGTAACTATATTATCGCGCAATTCTTATCTGATAAATGCAACTATAAGACATAAAGATATTATAAACATCATGATTTTGTGTAGAGCTGATTTACAGCTGAAATTAAATTAGTTTCATTACAATATTACCATTGTTATTTTCCTGTGAAGCTGCTTTGAAACGATCTGTATTGTATAAAGCACTATATAAATAAATGCAACTCAACTTGGAACCAAGCAAAAATACCATCCGTAGTTCACCATAGATAGATTGAGTTACAGGAAAATACATTTGAATTCCTTCTGTTCTTGTCTCTTAGCCAGGAAATTACATCCGGACAGTACAGAGAACATCAGAGTCGTACCAGGCTTGTAAAGACATCATAGCATGTATGAAGGACCGGGCTCATGTGGAGCGACAGTACGCCCATCAGCTGACCGAATGGAGCAACAAGTGGAAATCAATCACAGAGACTCGTGAGTGTCAAAAGCGTATCCTCATTTGGAGTTATTCACCAGCTACATCAAACAACAGGGGCCTGTGTTAAATGATTGGTTTTTATCACTGAGTAGCTCCACCCACAGTTCAATCTCATTGGTCCAAAATCCTGCTCCAGTATTTTCAGAAGCATCACGTCCATTGAATAATGTGCATAATATTCAAGCTTTTGTTATTTTATATTGGAATTTATGTCATTTGTATATGCTATCTTTGAATCTTTGTCAAATAATTGACACAATTATTGTCAGTAAAAATCACTCATTAATATATCTGAATTTTGTCAGTCCAAGATTTTGGGCTATTTTGCTTCCATAACTGTCTTTCAGACTAGTGGAAAGAAAACATCCAAAATACACATTTAAGTGTTTATTTTATTACAACAGATTTTATTACAGTTTTATACCTAGCTATATATATATATATATATATATATATATATGTATATGTATAATTTATTATTATTATTATTTTTTTTTACCGAGGGGTTTGCTCATTTTGCTTGATTTTGTAACATTACGTTCCTGAAAACATCCAAAAAGGTTTTTTTTCCCCCTAGGTGTGACAGTATTTTCTGATTTATGTTAAAAAAGAGAAATCCAAATTCATCTCTGTATAAACCTTTAACTCTAATATGTCAACAAAATGAAACAAGAATTTTGAATCTGGCTTTATCCAATGTTCAGATTTCTCTTCTGGAAGTATACGCAAATGAGTGCATATTTCATTATATAATGCCTCACTGTGATATAATTTGCTTTAATCTCAAGATTCTGTTGTCATCTACCGCTTATTTTGCTCGTATGAATTGCTCTTTTACATAACCCTAACCCTAACCCTAACTATTAAAAAATTTGCTGGCTGTCAAGTTCAGTTGCAGTTGTGCTTAGTGTAATGTAATTGGATAAAAGTGTTTGTAACTGAGCTGATTTTCACTGCTCTGTGTGTTTGTCTCTCAGGGCCGCTGTACGGGTCCCTCTTGCGGGCCTGGCAGTGCTTTTTCTCGTCCACCGAGCGTCTGTCTGCCCTTCACACATCAATCTCCCAGTCTCTGGTTTCTGAAGATGCAAAGTGCATTCGCTCGTGGCAAAAGGAGACGTTCCCAAGGAAAATGTTCTGCGGATTCAGAGAGTCACATGACCTTGGGACGGCTTTCTCACGTACTCAGAAGCCCTGGGAGAAACGATTAAAGAAGGTGACAGTTAGACGTATGCTGCTGGTTAATCGGTGTTAATCAACTGAACTGTTTTCACTCCTGTTGGTTCAAAATCCAGTGCAACATCTCGGTACATTAAAGCAAGACACTACAAGAAAAACCACTCGTCAATTTTGAAATTTTGCTTCCACAACGTAACTAGTGGAAAGAAAACATCCAAAATACACATTTAAAGGTGCAGTAAGTGATTTCTGAGAAACCCTGTTAAAAAAGTGGTTCAGACTGAGTACCAAAACACACTTTTAGCCACTCAGTAGTAAGGGGCGTTTCCACTCATGATGGGGGAGGTGCCTGTTGCATACCATGTTTGTGAATTTGGGGGTGGAGCTATTAAGATAGGGGTGTGGTCTTTTTAGGTAGGGGCGTGTTTGTTGTGGTCATTTCAATTATCAGCAGTTTCTCAGAAATCGCTTACTGCACCTTTAAGTTTTCATTTTATTGCACATTATCTATCTGTAGATTTCAATTTACAATGCATTTATTTAAAGTATGCTTTCTTAAAGGAGATATATTATGCGCCTTTTTACAATATGTAATATAAGTCTCTGGTGTCCCCAGAATGGGTCTGTGAAATTTCAGCTCAAAATACTCCACAGATCATCCATTACATCATTTATAAAATGCCTATTTTGAGTGGAAGCAGAAACACGCTGTTTTTCGGGCCTGTCTCTTTAACTGCAAATGAGCTGCTGCTCCCCGCCCCCTTTTCCAGAATAGAGCTGCGCCTTTACAGCTGGTATACCTGCTAAAAAACATCTGTTCTGGTTCTGATTATCATGTTTATCGCGCTGAAATCATGCGTTTTAAACCATATGAGTTTAAACTTTTGATATACGTATTCTGTTTTCTGAGCGCACACATCCGAAGCACACGGACAGAAAGCGGCTGTCACAGCATGTGAGTACTAAAAAGGCTTACCAAAACAAAGTTACTGGGTTAATCTTTTTCACGTTTCCTTGGTTGGTAGATGCACCGGGGAGCTGATTATAGCACTCAAAACCTGGAAAAGTCAGATTTCCATGATATGTCACCTTTAAAATATATTTTTTTCCCAGCCAGAAATCTGCAAGTATCTATATTTTGAGGGGATTGTTCATGTAACATCCATATAATTTACATTTAAATTTTTACGTATACATTTTATGTAATATTTTATTTCTAAACACATGGTACAAAAAAGTATTTTTCTGGCTGTAGTATTTTCACAGTATTTTGTAATTTCAGTCTTTCTACTTCAAAATTTTGTTTAATTCAATATGTTACTTGCCATTTTTTTGTAATTAATTGTGAAATTTACTAGCAATTTCTCAGTGAAAATAGTTTCTACATAATTTTTTTCAGTGTATACATAATATATATTATAAAATTATAATATATAATATTTAGGGCTTTCAATTGATTACAGTTTTTAATCTAATTAATTACACGATGTGGTGATTAATTAATCTAATTAATTGCATATTAATTGCACATCAAATTTGCTGAGAAATTACCCACAAAAAGATAGTTTAAAGCAATTATTGTGTTACATGAGAAAAGCATGAAAAATACATTACAAACAGTAACTTTAGAAAGACATTTTTATTTATTTTTATTTTCCAATTTTTTATTTATTTTCTTTTGACTTTTTACATTTTTGGGTGAACCATCCATTTAATTATTATTTTATTATTATTATTAATTGGGATTTTTTTTATTTTTGTTTTTCAGATTTTTGTATCTCTCTCTCTCTCTCTCTCTCTCTCTCTCTCTCTCTATATATATATATATATAGTAAATGGCTCTTTTTATGAATGGGCCATTGATTCATTTGTTCACCCGATTCGTTCAAAAAGTAGATTCATTCAGAAATTGTGTGTTGCTTGGAGATGCACAACAGTTCTGCTGTGGCTTTAATAGGGAATATTTGCGTTGGCAAAATTTAGCAAAATCAGTCAATATTGTCTAAAATATAACACAATATTAAGTTCTTATTTATTGGACTGTTGTAAAATCAATATCACATTTGCACTCGTGCTATTTGGGACAAAAACAGCACTGGTGTGATATTGCACTCGTTAATTGTGTTAAAAAGTAATTAATTAGATTAACGTGTTAAATCGACAGCCCTAATATTATAACATATGTTGGAAACTTAAATGAGGCACTTAGAGAGAGAAGATGAAATAGTATCTCCAGTGTATTCAGTAGCATGACTGAGCTGAATAGAAAATTAAAAGCACTACATGATTCTAATAATAAATCTTTGTGTCTCCATTAGCTGGAAAAGGCTCGTGTGGCGTATCATAAGTCATGTCAGAGAGAGCAGAGCGCTCAGGAAAAAGAGAATCAAGCCAAAAACAACGTCAACTTGAGCGAGAGCAAACTGTCCAAGATCCAGCAGGCCAGAGAGAAAGCCACACAGGAGCGCAGCAAGGTCAGTCAGAAATCGGACTGCATGAACAAATGCCAGTTACTATTATGACTTAATGAATTTGCATGTTTTTGCAGGCATGTGATCGTTATGAGAAGGTTCTCGAGGACGTTACTGGCTTCGCACCGCGATACATGGAGGAAATGGAGTCTGTGTTCGACCAATCACAGGAGAAGGAGAGGAAGAGGATCAGCTTCCTGAAGCAGGCCTTCCTGTCCATTCACAGACACCTTGACATTACCAACAACGAGAGGTTTAAAACACAAAATAAAAATTTGATGTTATGTTACAAAGGTCATGTAGACCATTAAAACGATTACACTTTATCTGACATTAAAGCCTTCCGTATATTTTGAAGGAAAACAAATAAAATATTCGTTAGTGTTGTTGGTTTCAGCTATTTCAACTGTAGTAGATGATATGTGTATATATAAAGGGTTATTATAGTTAAAACAAAAAAAAACTGAAGAAAAAAATTCATTAATTTAAATAAAATAAATGTTAACTCCAATAAAATAAAATGTCAATTATGAATAAACTTTTTTTTCAGATACCTGCCATAGAAATATTTCTCATTTAATTTAACTTGAAGTACTAAAATAACTAAAACTGAATAATAAAAAAAACAACAACATATAGACAAAGGACAAAAACACAACAAAAGTACTAAAAAATAAACTAAAATTTAATTAGAAATAGAAAATATAAAAATTAAAATATTTTATCTAATTCAAAATAATACCAAAATATCATAATATATCAATGATAATTAAATAGAGCTGAGAATCAAATGATTTACATTTGACATTTCAATTTTAGAAATTGGTGTTTTCCATAAACCCTGCAGGATATTGTTGACAAAGACAGAATTTTCCAAAACTCCCTCCACAGCCTTTTCCTTTTCAGTCGTCTTCTTTAAAGGCAAACAGTGACATGCAAAGATGCAAGTTTGTTGGATTTGTTGGATAAACATTACTCAAGAAAATCAAGTTTTTAGTATTATAGTATTGAAAAGTTCCATTAGCTGCAGTTTTGTCTACAGTTATGTGTATTGTGTGTGTGTGTGTGTGTTTGTGTTTCAGTATAAAAGCAGTATACAGTGAGCTACATCACATGCTCATGTCCATCAGTGAACCGGATGATCTCCGCTGGTGGAAGAACAACCATGGGCCGGGCATGCCGACAGACTGGCCCAAACTAGAGGTGTGTGTGTGTGATCGTATGCATTCAGATATTACCTTGAAGAACCTTTTGAAGCACCTTTATTTTTAAGAGTGTAGAAAGAAAAACACGTTTCCTGGATCGCAGATGTTTCTTCTGATCAATAAAACCCTATAATCTCACCCGTGTCTCCACTAGAGCTCCAAGAGATCTCAACAATGTCTCAAACAGTCAGATTTACTTGATTACACCAATCCTGGATTTACTGAAACCTGCTAAAAACATGAAAATATTTCCATAATAAAATGAGCCTGCTTTTAAGGACCATCAGAATTTTTTCCCCATTTTTTTGTGACTATTTTCATAACAATTAAACACATTTCACATCCAAATTCTTATACTGTCATATTGTGGAAATTGTAATTTAGGAAAAAAAATCATAATTTGTTAAAACATTAAATAGTAATTTAGTAACACTATAATTGATGTTAATTTAATTAATATTATTTAACTAAAGCTAAAACTATTAAAAATAATTTTCTTTAACTGAAATAAAATCGAAATATTAGATGGAACGGTTACCCTTGATGTCAGTCTTATGCACACCCCTTCAAGTAAAGTGTTACCAAACTTGGTTAAACTTTTATTTTTAAAGTTGTAGTTGAACTAAAACTAAACTATTAAAAATAATTTTCTTTAACTGAAATAATGCTGAAATAAAATAAGATATAAATACTAGATGGAAAACTTAAGCTTAGAAAACGTCAAAATGTTTAGTCAATTTTAATAGTTTTTTTTAATAGTTTAATAAAAACTATTAAAAATGACAAAGCTGAAATAACATAAATAGTAAATGGAAAGCTTACATTTAGAAAACTTAAAAATTTGAAATGTTGCCTTGGCTAACTGAAATAAGTAGAAACTGATATAAAAAATAAAGCTAAACAGAAATGTTAAAAAAAGTGGAAAATTAAAATGAATCTAAAATATTTTAAAATAAAAGCTCATTCAAAATATAAATAAATACTATAATAGTATATAAATAATACTAAAATAACAACCTGTTTTGGATGATTTGATTTGTCTGCCATGTCCTGGCGCAGGGTCATGATCGGAGGAGTGCGGGTTCGAGCGCTGTACAACTACACCGGAGAGGAATCTGATGAACTGTCATTCAAAGCAGGTGATCATGTGGAGATTCTGCAGTTACACTCTTAAAAATAAAGGTGCTTCACGATGCCATAGAAGAACTTTTTTGTCTAAATGGCTCCATAAAGAACCTTTAACATCTGAAGAACCTTTCTGTTTCACAAAAGGTTCTTTGTGGCGAAAGAAGGTTCTCCAGATTATAAAAAGGTAAGAAAGAGATGGTTCTTTAAAGAACCTTTGACTGAATGCTTCTTTGTGGAACCAAAAATGGTTCTTCTATGGCATCGCTTGAAGAACCTTTTGAAGCACCTTTATTTTTAAGAGTGTAGACTGTAACTCTGAGTACGGTGCTGTGGATGTGACTGGTGTGGGTCTGTCTCACAGGTGAAGAGTTCCTCAAGGTGGAGGAAGAGGACGATCAGGGCTGGTGCTGGGGCGTGAAGGAGGGCAGAGTCGAGGGATTTTATCCGACCAATTACGTGCTACCTGTCAAATGATGTCATGATTCATCACTGAGGCACAACCATGCTTATTTACAGCTATGGTATTAACTTACGGTGGCCATCAAGAACGATATAAATGTGAATGTCATCACATTAGAAATTGCCAAGAGCTTTTCTCAGAACTACCTTTTTCACTTTTCTTTGACTTTTTTCAACAATATCTATTGTTTTATCATTTAAACTTTTTGTGATTTTTTTCTTTTTCGCTTAAAGTCTTTTTGTGTTACATTTCTTTACATTTAAGTGTTACTTAGTTTGATATTTTATCTAATGCAGTGACATTCAGACATTTTTAACTGTCCAAATACTTTCAGTTTGCCGTATCTTTGGTAAATAATTTACTTTTGTGTTCCTTGGAAAACAACTACAAGATCTGTTTCTACAGACCAAGAAGAAAATAAAACATCAATTCTCTTTCATGAATGAAAACCTCAACTCTTTATTTAGTAATGTAGGATGTCATTCATTTTAATTAACAAATTCTTTTGTCCTCCTATGCTTTTGGAAAACCTCCGAGTGAGCCAGAGACCATCAGCAAATGATTCAAGCAGAGACAAGAAACGTCCTCTTTGTAATTTATATATTGCTTAATGAGGGGTTGTACAAAAACCAGTAGGAGCTTGTTAAAAAGATTACGGGGCACTGGAGAAACAGCCTCCATTATCATCAGAGCCAGATCTATATTATATTTCACCTACAGGAATCAGCACCTGATCAAGTGGACTGAATGAAACTTTAAATAATATTTAAACACACTACTCTGCAACATCCAGGACTGAACCAGCAAAGGAGGAATTTTAACAGATATCCTTATAAAGAACAAGGAACAGGTGCGTAACTATAGCAACCAGTCATTAATCCTGGAATGACAGGGACCTCTGGTGGTGGATCCGCAATCACATCTCTCCATCTGTTTTAATGCTGTTTTCCACAGTCAAGAGAGAAGACTGAAGCTTGTCTGTTTTACTGTGCGCATAAAATATTATTTTGAATATTTTGTGCATTTGAAATATGGGGGGGGGGGGGGGTTTGGGGGTCTTCTTTCCAAGGCTACATTTAGTTGATCAAAAATACAGTAAAAATAGTAATATTCTGAAATATTATTACAATTCAAAATAACTGTTTTCTATTTGAATATATTTTAAAATTAAATTTATTCCTGGGATGCAAAGTTGAATTGTCTGCATCATTACGCAAGTCTTCAATGTCACATGATCCTTCAGCAATCATTCTAGAAATCTTCAGAAACATGCTAATGTCTTTACTCTCAGTTTTAATCAATTTAATGCATCTTTGATGAATAGAAGTATTAATTTATTTATAAGTATTAATTATTCATTAAAAAATGTTCATTCATTAAGATGCTAATTTACTTCTGCGTTTTGTTTGTTCATTAATAAATTATTAAATCTGTGAACTCTATCTTTAAAAAATCCAGCATCATTTTGTAGCATCATTAGTTCACTAACAGACTGCTTTTAATTGCAAACCATTTGTTAGTTTTGTGTAGCAGTCCTGAGCCATTATGTAATTTATCGAGGCCCACCAACCACAACGATAAACTGACTAATATTTCATGTCTGCGCTCACATACTTGTCAATTATGTTTCTGGCCTAATATTACGGTGTAAAAGTTCATAATCTGACTGGTAATGGGAAAGTTTTATGTTAATATAAGTAATACCACCAACCCACTTATCAAATACGGCTTTCATTTGGATGTAAGCATTAGCATCTAGCTAATTTCATTGCAATTAATTCCGCATAAACACATTTCATTACACCAAATACACCAAATAATGTTCTTTTTATCAGCATCATATGACCCCTTTAACTAGAGACACGGACCGTTTCCATAGTGTCATTGTGTCACCTGCTAATGACGTCATAACCCCTCTGATTTTTCAACTAAGTTAATAAATCATTAGCTCATCCATGAACATGATTTCTGCTTGGATTGCATCAGCTGTGGGGATGAAGACCACAACTCCCATGATTCCTCAGTCAAGGGGTCATCAAACTACGCCTTTGCCTCTTTGTTTATTTTGAATACGCGCCCTCTAGCGACGAAAATTACATATTGTGCCTTTAAGTAGGCCTACTATCCCAGATAGCACATGTACGTCTGCAAGATGTCTGTTAAAGATCGCTTCATCTGGAAAGCATCTGCTGTGTACAAACATCTGACAGACATCTTTAAGATGTCAGTTTTACATTCATTCTAAATCATAAACATCTTAAAGACATCTTCTAAACGTCTAATTGACATCTGATAGGAAACGTCCTATAGACGTATCGCAGATGTGCAAACACTCTAAAAAATACGTCTTGCAGATGAAATGCAGAGGTCAAATAGATGTCTCCGTGATGTATACCTGCATGTTAAATTTCTTTAGAACTATTTCAAACCAAAAATAGTACATTTTGACATTGTTTTCAATATACTATGATTTAGGATACATTCATTCTTATCTTGCATAGGACAAGCAAGTCTGTGACACAACGAGCAAACTGGTTTGAATTCAGTTTTGATGTAATTTTCACAAAAATAAGATCTTAATGGTTTGTGCAAAACAAGTTCTTGAGATTATAATGGTTAATAATATCAATGTCAAGCTAAGCTAAATATGTCCATATGTAGCAGGCCTTCGCGTCAGTATTAGTAACAGAAGCACATCGCGTTTCGGTGAGGCAGATACAGAGAACTCATTCACAACACACAAACACAGTCCTCCACATGCTCGCGCACACACACATACATGGAAACCCACATCAGCACCCTCGGTGGGAAGAAAACGTGCACAATACGCCTCGAGATATTGACGCACAAACGCACCGGGTGAGAAATGAACACGCGGAAAGACTGAGGATCACATCCGCGCAGCCGTGACTTTGTGAGCGCAGAAACCCACCGCACGACAGATGCGAATAAGGCATCGACAAAACTGATGACACAGCTGATGTTGGCCTTAAGAGAGGGGGTGATATAGACTGGGGAGTCGTTTATTGTTTGTTTATATTTGTCTGTGCGTGTTGTACGGAACGAGTGAGCTGAGGGAAGACAGAACATCCACTGCACCACTGTGTGACTGGATTCTTAATGGGAGGGGGATGGAGAGAAAGAGAGAGAGAGAGGTAGATGGCTTATCATTAAGTCATAATACATACTGGAGGACACAAGTGTGTGGGAAGCAGACAGAGTTCAACACAGAACCAGAGGAGAGATAAAACAGGGCTGCTAATATGAACTAACTACCACAAGCATGTTCAACATGCAGGCCAAGCACCATTACGACAGCTGGATCTGTTTATTCATTTATTCCTTTAATGAGAGAATCAGCATTACTAGTGGTCATCGACCTTTATAGGGACGGCAAAGACACTTTAAAAAAAGAAGAAGCTGAAACTGAAATTGTGGTGCATTTTGAAATAAGTTGGTGCTTGAAACCAAGCTTGCATACAGTCGATAAGCATCAGTTTAGGTACTTGTGCATGCTGTAGGCCTCCCTATGTGAATTCAAATGATGCATTTTGCATTAGCGTTCCTGGTAATGTTTTAAAAAATAGCTTTCATTAATAACTTATGCCCTCATATGATGTTTAAAGGAATAGTTCACCCAAAAATGTCCATTTGTTTAAAATGTACTCAACCTCAGGCCATCCAAGATGTAGATGAGTTTGTTTCTTCATCAGATTTGGAGAAATGTAACACACTTGCTCACCAATGGATCCTCTGCAGTGAATGAGAGTCCAAACAGATGATAAAAACATCACAATAATTCACAAGTAATCCACACCACTCCAGTCCAGCAGTTAATGTCTTGTGAAGTGACATTGTGAAGTGAAGTGGAAAGGTGCGTATTTATAACAAACAAATCCATCAAGATGTTTTTGACTTCAAACCATAATTTCTGGCTAAAATACCAGTCCATAATAAAAGCTTCCTCCAGTGAAAAAAATCAATCTGCTGTTGCCTCTCACATTAAAATCCACACATATTTCTTAAGAACAGTTTTGCTTGTAAACGGTGCTTGATCTGTGCAGATTTCTCTCCTGATTCAGACAAGATGGCTTTTTCACTGGAAGAAGCAGTATTATGGATAGAGGACTTGTATTTTAGCTGGAAGCAATGGTTTGAAGTTAATAACATCTTAACAATGCATTTGTTTTTTACAAACACACAAATTCTCACTTCTCAAGATGTTAACTGATGGACTGGAGTGGTGTGGATTACTTGGATCACCCATTCACTGCTGAGGATCCATTGGTGAGCAAGTGATGTAGTGCTAAATTTCTTCAAATCTGTTCCCATGAAGAAACAAACTCATCTACGTCTTGGATGGCCTGACATGTTTAGAAATACACAGGATATGTATATACATACATACATATATATATATATATATATATATATATAAAAATATATATATATATATATATATATATATATATATATATATATATATATATATATATATACATGTAATCAAAGAAAATGACCTGTTTTATGTCTGTCTACAGGCAGGGCTTTCACAGACCCCTAATGGAAAGCCCTGAAGCTGAACTTCGAACAAACAACTTAAATGACTTACTGCATCATGGTTGTCATCTCTGGCAACCATTTAGTGTGAGTTGTCTATTACAAACGCATAGATATCAACACTTAACAATGGTGGCAATTAACAAACATAAATGTTGTTTATATGAGGCTCAAGTTACAAAACTAGCTATTTAAACATCATTTAGATAAGTGCTTTTCAAATGGTGGATCGTTATGGGATGAAATCATTTGTATTTTTAATGTCAAAATGCTTACTTACTAAAGCCATTTTGTGAACTAAATATTCACCTCATGAGTGTGATATTTATTTCGCCCATGAAAGGGACTATCTGGATCACAAAATTCATTTAGTCCACAAAATTAAATGGCCGGGTCACACTTGGCACGGTATTAATAGGTTGCACTTTTGTTCTAACAAAGAGTACAGCATGGTGCTTGCAACATCAAGGTTATGGGTTCGATTCTCAGGAAATGCATGAAA